AATTTATTGGCTCATAGTACTAGAGGCTAGAAATCAAAGATCAAGGTGTTAGCAGGTTTGGTTTCATATGTGCGGAGGAATCTGTCCCTTGCCTCTCTCCTAGATTCTGGAGGTTTGCTGGCAAACACTGGCATTTCTTGACTTGTAGACCCAGAATCCTGATCTCTGCCTTCATGTTCACATGGCGTCTTCCTGTATGCATGCATGTTTGTGTCCAAAATTTCTCATTTTATAAGAACATGAGTCATATTGGGTTAGGCATCATCTTAAAGAACTTATTTCAACTGGATTACCTCTATGAAGATCCCATCTCCAAATAAGACCATATTCTGAAGTACTAGGGATTAGGACTTCAATATACGAATTTGGGGGGGGCACAATTCAATTCATATCACCAACTTTCTTTCTTTTTTTTTTTTGTTCAATAAAGTTTTATTTTTCCAAATATATGGTTGGTTGGACCCTGTTCATGCATCTTCACCAGCAGCTGGGCATCTCCACCCTTGGTATTTCTGGTATAAATTACTTGAGCTCTGTGCTTAGAAACCAGTTTGATAAGTCCTTTACTAAGGAGCTCCTGAAGGCCTGCCCTGGCCAGGGAACCTCAAATCTTCAGTCTCTCAGAGACCACAGCTGGAGTGATAAGCTTATAGTTGGGAACTTCCTTACAGAGTTTGTCATATGTAGCTTTGTCAAACAAGACTAGGTTATTGAGCTTGTCCCGAACTTTGTCCTTGGACCACTTCTTCTTTTTGGCCTTGCCTCCAGATTTGTTCACTGGGTCTTTGTCTTTCTTGGCTGACTTTCCAGCATCTTTCTTCTTGTTGTCCTTGGGCGGCATTGCGAAGCTAGGAGAGGAGCTGCCACTACTGCAACCTAGCTAAGATCCATATCACCAACTTTCTTTTTTTTTTTGAGACAGAGCCTCAAGCTGTCCCCCTGGGTAGAGTGCTGTGGCATGACAGCTCACAGCAACCTCCAACTCCTGGGCTCAAGCGAGTCTCCTGCCTCCGCCTCCCAAGTAGCTGGGACCACAGGCGCCCACCACAACGCCCGGCTATTTTTTGGTTGCAGCCATCATTGTTGTTTGGTGGGTTCGGGCCGGATTCGAACTTGCCACCTTAGGTGTATGTGGCTGGCGCCTTAGCCACTTGAGCCACAGGCACCGAGCCCATATCACCAACTTTCTTTTCTTTTCTTTTCTTTTTTTTGAGACAGAGCCTCAACCTGTCCCCCTGGGTAGAGTGCCGTGGCATTACAGCTCACAGCAACGTCCAACTCCTGGGCTCAAGCGAGTCTCCTGCCTCCGCCTCCCAAGTAGCTGGGACCACAGGCGCCCACCACAACGCCCGGCTATTTTTTGATTGCAGCCGTCATTATTGTTTGGCGGGTCTGGGCTGGGGATTCGAACCCGCCACCTTAGGTGTACGTGGCTGGCGCCTTAGCCGGTTGAGCTATAGGCGCCGAGCCACCAACTTTCAATAACAATTCTCTCACTGTCCCTCAAGTCTTCACTTGAGTTCCCACCCCTGTCTAAAGCGAATGGAACATGGTTTTTTCTTTTAGCAGCATCCAACTTTACCAATTTCAGCGTGAGTTAGGGGCTGGTCAGGAAGGAAGACCATTATGGAAGACAGGGTTTGTTACAGGAATTAGATGCAACACAATTGCAGGAGAGGCTAGGGAAGCAAAGGTCTGAAAGGGGAAGGCTGTATAATAAGAAAAAAGTCACTAGTCAGGGATAACAAAGGAAAGCTAGTGAGGAAGTCTATGGAAGGTTATTCTCTCTGCATCCAGTAATGGGCCTGAAGTTGATAGATCATCAGGTCCAGCAGCCAGAAATAAAAGATGGATTGAATTAGGGGAGAATAAGGACGCACTGAATCCACAGAAATAACTGGAACCCACAAGGACATCCAGTAATGGGCTTGAAGTTGATAGATCATCAGGGCCAGCATCCAGGAACAAAAGATAGATTGAATCAGGGGAGAGTGAGGACACACTAGAATCCAGAGAACTAACTAGAACCCACAAGGACAAAACGGAACTCACAGTCACCTTTCACATTGATGAGTGAGTGAGCCATAGCATAAGCAAATGCCCTCACCATGGAACTACATATGCACCTTGTCCCAGGGCTTAGAGAAACTTAAATAGGAAATCTAGTGGGAGCTGGGTCAGCTGTGGACCAACTGATGCTCTGCACCAACAAAGGGTTAGTGGACCAGTGACGACTATATGATCTGCAGAGGCATCTGGTACTACACATCAACCTTCAGGGCACGAGAGCTGCCGCTTCACTTGCTCTTTCCAAATCTTAGCAAATTTCTCGTGTCCAGTTCTATCCTGGAACCATCCTGGGAACAGACATTTGATGAGCTGAATTCCAGTTTAGCGAAATAAGAGTATAAAACCACCACACGAGCCTCAGGTTTTAGTTAAGCCTCGTGTCAGTCTTGCAAGATAAATATTAGCATCCCCATTTTGCATATGAGGAAATGAAGCCTCATATTTACTTATAGGTGAATGAATGGAAAAGCCTGGATTCTGCTCACATCTCATGCATAGCCAAGTACCAAAAGGATCCCAAGTCCTCTTGCCTACTGGTATTCATGTTCATGATCTTTTGTAGTTCCCCTGCCACTTTAAACAGATTTGACTTGAGCAATCAAGATCAATATAATATTTCAGAAATGGTGGTGGGGAATTTTTTTTGAGACAGGGTCTTGCTTCATTGCCTAGGCCAGAATGTAGTGGTGCTATTATAACTCACCATAACCAAGAATTCTCAAGTCATCCTCCTGTGAAGCTAGGACTACAGGCACACACCACCATGCCTGACTAATTTTTATTTTTATTTTTGTAGAGATGAGGGTCCCCCCATGTTGCCCAGGCTTGTCTTGAACTCCTGGTTTCATGTAATCTCCCCCGTCTGGGCCTCCCAAAGTGCTGAGATTATAGGTGTGAGTCATTCCACCTGGCTGTGAATGACTCAAAAGATGTTGCAGCCTCCCCTTGTCTTTATCTTGAATCACTTGAAAGCCACCTGCTATGTTGTAAGGACAGTCCAGCAGCCTGAGGGCATGGCTAAATTAAGAGAAACTGAGGTCTTCTGTGAGCACCCTGTCCATCTGCATGAACCACCTTTGAAAGCAGATTTTCCAGCACCAGCCTAGCCTTCAGATAACTACAGCCCCAAATTTTGGCTGCAATCTCCCAAGAGACCTCAAGTCAGAATTTTAAAGCTAAATGGTTTCTAAATTATTGACTCACAGAAAATATGAAATGATATTTATGACTGTTTAAGCTGCTAATTTTGGGGGTTAATTGGTTACATATCAATTGATAATATGTCAGATTCTAAAGCATAGCTCTTTTCATAACATCATGTTGCTTTAAAATTTGTTTGGATCGTCAGAATGGGGATTATGGAAAGTCCAGAATGTCCTCCTGTGATCAAAAAAGGCTTTGAAATATGTTTGGTGCTATCAGATACTGAGAGAGAAGGAGTGTCATCTAGTGGTTAAACTGGACCTTGAGAATTAGGAGAGTTTCTTTTTTGTCACTATGCAGGGTAAGCTGAGTTGTGTGAATAAATTAGAGGTTAAACCATGTGTTTTTGCTGAGTGGTAGACTTGGGCTGGAATTAGAGAAGACAAATGATAGAAATGGATGTTAGTAGGGCAGGTAAGTCCTGACAAATGGCGAGGAAATGAAGTGGAACTCCCAGGGCTGCCACAGTGAGGTGCTGGCTGTCTCTTTGTTTCCACCTTTTTCCTTCAAAGGGGCCATGTTCTCTTCTGCCCCATCAGGCCCCCTTCTGACCTCAAACTCATTTCTCTACTTTTCCTTATGAAGAACTTTTCCTTTTGTCATAAGGTATATAGAAATTACTATATAGGTATTAAGGAACTTGAAAGAAAATACCACCTGTTGAAAACTCTTGTCTCCATATTGCCCACATTTGGTCTAGGACTAGAGAGGAGAGGCACTGTGCTTGGTGACTTAACCAGACTGGAGTTAGCCAGCAACAGTCCTTAGGTGCCAGAACTCTTCTAGGACACTGGGTGCAGCCATGCTCATTTACAGTGCTCTGTTACTCAGCCTGGAGCATAGCGGCTGCATCAGACCTCACTGCAGCCTCAGACTCATAGGCTCAAGCGATCCTCCTGCTTCAGCCTCCCCAGCAAATAGACCTACAGGCTTCTGGCACCATGCCCAGCTACTTGTTTAAAAATAATTTTGTAGAAATGGGGTGCCACCATATTGTCCCAGGCCGGCTGGTCTCCAAGTCCTGGCCTCAAGCCATACTCTTTCCTCACCCTTCCAAAGTGCTGGGATTACTGGCAAAGCCACCATTCTGATTAGTTAGGTGGAGTGATGTGCTGAGTTCTTCCCCTCCCTGATATTCCGTTAGGTCAAACCCTTCCTAAGAAGTGAACGAACCCTCAACAGCTGGGGTTAGAACGAAAAGTTTGCCTGACCCTCTGACTTCTAAACTCACCTTAACCTCGTCTTTGTGCCTCCAGAACCCACTACAAAGTAGGCATCTATAAACATTTGTGGAACGAACAAACCAACTTTCCTCAGTGGTCCTTCCCGGCCCTTTCTCTACGTGGGACCGCGCTAGCATTTGAGCTCCACTAAGGGGACGTTTCCAGGTCTTCGATCCATCCCGGGGTAGGACCAGGTCTCCTGTGTTTTTATTGGGGGACTCAGATCAGAGCCAGGCAGGCTGCTTGCTCCGTCTCTCTGTTTTTCATCGGGATGGCAGCATTTGTTTGGGGTGTACAAGGCCACCAAAAAAGTCCTGAGCTGGTCTGGGAAAGAGTAGGGGGATACAGGATGGTGTTTACCGTCCTAGCCAGGTCAGAAGGCCAAGCATTCCCACCAGCATGGACTGCCAGCCCTTCCGACCTGCGTCGCAGCTAAAGAGCGGGCTTCTCCCGGCAGGCGCCGGGTGGGCGGGGCCTGGGGGCGGGGCTGCCGCGGTCAGGTGACCGCGCGCCGGGTGGTGTTGGCAGAGGCCGAGGGGCCGCAGAGGCGTTCAGGGCCGGCGGGGCAGCAGGGGCTGCAAGGGTCGTCGTCATGGGAAGTCTGCAGGACGAGCTGCTCAAGGCCATCTGGCACGCTTTCACCGCGCTCGACCTAGACCACAGCGGCAAGGTCTCCAAGTCTCAGCTCAAGGTGGGAGCCCCCTGTCCGGGCCCCTGGTCCGGCCCTCGCCGGCGCGCTCCCCACTTCCCCTGGGTGGAAGCGGGACGGGCGGGCGGTGACCGCGGGGAGGGGCGGGCCGGGCCGGATTGGGGCCGGAGGCCTGCTTGGGGTGGAGGGTGCGGAGACCGGGATTTGGTGTTTTCTGCCCTTCCTCTGGCCTTCGGGCTGCGCCCTGGGACGGGTGTGTTCGTTCCCGCGGTCCAGGCGGTGGAGCGAGGAAGGCTGGGATGGGGTATGGAAGGGGCGAGCTTGTTTCCCTGTTGGTGCCGGGGACCCCGAAAGTTGTGAATTCTAAGGAAGCTGTGGGAAGCTCCTGTAGATAACCTTCCCAGAATTTCCCTCTGGAGAGTAAGGGACTTGCCCAAGTTACAGGGCAGAGCCTTCTGCAGCCCATCTCCCCACACCTGGGTACTCCTCCAAACGTCCAGCTGCGCCCGAGTTGCTGGGGCAGTTCAGATGAGGGAGAAATGCCCCGCACGGAGCTCGGCCCCCGGCGTCCTCCTCCTCTCGGAGCCTTTGGCGGTTAGGCACACTTTCTGACTTGTGAAAACCTCACCGCTGGCGCTTTCACGTCTGGAACTAGTGGAGAGTGTGAGCCGTGTCCCATGGGGACCTGAGTTCCGGGTGAGGAGCACTGATCTTTCTGACACCTTGCAGAGGCAGCTACTTTTGCAGAGTCGTTACTTTGACTGCCAAAGACTCCATCACTAACTCAGAGTGTAAGGTACGAATAAAGGCATGCTTGCAAATTGAGAAACCGCGAACAGGGAAGGTAGCACTCGGCCAGGAGAGATTCGAAACTTCTTGAAAGTATAAAATATAGGAACAGACAAAAAGAGCCATTCACAGCCATTTTCAAACACACACACTTTGGATCTGAATGTCTGATTTTCTTAACCTTTTCTAGGAATCAACTTATGAGAGTTGGGTTTGCTTTGTATATTTTGTGCAGTAACCAGAAGGTTCTTGTGAATAGTGGCTTTTATACCAGTAGGATTTAGCATTCCCCCTTTTCTCTTTGCCCTCTTTTTCTCAACATAAACTCTTAGTTTCTAAGTGTCCATAGAGATCATCCACTTAATTTTTTTTTTTTTTTTTTTTTTTTTGCAGTTTTTGGCGGAGGATGGGTTTGAACCTGCCACCTCCGGCGTATGGGGCCGGCCCCCTACTCCTTTGAGCCACAGGTGCTGCCCTCGCAAATTTTTTTTTTTTGTAGAGGCAGATTCTCCCTTTTGCCCGGACTGCTTTCCAACTCCTGGCCTCAAATGATCCTCCTGCTTTGGCCTCCTAGGGTGCTAGGATTACCCATCTGTGCCACAGTGCCTGCTTGGATCCTTTTTTTTTTTTTTTTTGAGACAGTCTCAAGCTGTCGCCCTGGGTAGAGTGCTGTGGCTTCACAGCTCATAGCAACCTCCAACTCTTGGGCTTAAGTGATTCTCTTGCCTCAG